CCAGGCCGGGCCTGAGCACAAAACCCAGGCCCAAACCCGGAATTTCCAGGCCGGGATGTGGCAACCACTAATATATTTTAAAAAATACATCAATATAATACAAAATTTAGGTCTTAAATAGTTATAAAAAGGATATATAAACATAAAAAATATTATAATTTTATGTAAAGTGTGTACACACACAACAAAGCAATAGGGATGTAAAACACCACAATCATGCTTTGAAAGATGCTATTAATGGACGCGTGAATATGCAACCAACATTGTACTAAATCCTTGAGTTTTTTTCCCGAGTGACGTTTAACCTAGCCTTTTATTGTTGAGTTTGAATTGAATTCCTGAAAATTTAAGGTGAAACTCAACAACGTAAAGATTGCATTTCAATAAGCTTTAGGATTCATACTTTTAAAGCTTAGAAGCACAAAGCCCCAATTTTAGTACCTGTTTGGGAGGACTTGTGTTGAGATTTAATTCATTATTCACGGTGTTTGATTGATCATTTACATAATTTTATGGATGAACCTTAATTTTAACTTTGAAAAAATAGTTTGTCAAAATTTTGAATTTTCTCATCGAAACTCTTGTTTTGTCAATTTTCTATCTTTTATACTTTGTCCCATATTATAAAATTATAAGAATTCACTTGAACTTTTTAGTAGGAACTTAACACTCTTTACAAGTATAGAGAATAGAGTATAGAGATACACTACTGTATAATGCATTTATGCATCTATGTCATGTGTGTGCAGCGCTTTAGAGGCAAACTTTACCCACACTCTATGCACACCATTGTGAGAATCCAGTTGCAAATGTGATACAAGTGCAAATAAAAAATTTAGGCTCAGTTTGGAAAGAGTACAAATATAAATATGTACAGTGCAAATACATACAAAATATAAGGTTTTGTACTCTACAAACTTGTATTTGTAATCCTTCCAAACTAAGCCTTAGTTGCAAATTCACTTGTAAAATCTCACAATGGAATTTGGACAAGTTTGTGTAGGGATGTCAAGAAACATCATTTAAAAGTTTAATAGTCATTAATTGTTAACTAACTATTAACAATCACTTAAGTAACAATACAAGAAGCATCTTCAAAAGGACTTGGAAACCTTTCATGATGATTTCTTCAAAATATATAAAAAAGTTTAAGTCAACTCCATTTTTATGCAAATCATTACACAACAAATTTGTCTCGCTCATTTCGAATTACTTCTATATTTTAGAAGGTCTCCCAAGAAATTTAAACTTTACTAGTTATAGTTTCTCATCCAAGAATCTATCATATCCTAATAATGAATTTGGTTGCAACCCAACAATAAACTTAGTCACCTAAGTACAGGCAATTGAAGTTTTAAATAGGGAGCGCAACAGGGTGGGTTTGAGGAGGGTTTTGTAAATTCTAGACTCTACCTACCTCCCTAGACCTCCCAACCTGTACCCTCCCCAAAACGCATAGTGGGTTGGATTTTCAAAATCCAAACCCTCTCTGCCCTACCATATTTCCATTTGAGGGTGGGGCGGGTCAGGTCTAGAACCTATATCTAATTTTCAATTATTTTACATTATATATAAGCAATAAACAAGTAAAATAATACAAACAAGCATCAAAATTTCTAATTATTTGATTAAAACATGTAAAAAATACATAAACTATTAATTATCCTTCACATAAAATTCAACACCTAATATATAAGTTCACATGCCTTCCAATAATATGGGGTTTAGCTTAATGTCCTACCCTACTTATACCTGTACAAGTTATAAAATCCCAAAACCCATACCTACCCCAAAATCTGCCTTTAAGCATATAAAAAAAAAGAATGCCCCATTGAGGCATGTGGGAGGGGGTACCCACTAGGTAGAGTAGTTTTCATCTGTAAAGACAATGCCATTAGATACACATCAAAGTTTTGCCTCTAATTTCCTGAAATTACATCTCCAACAACTTTCACATTATTTGGCATTGCAAAGTAGTCCCCCATGGAAAACTGTGAAGCCATGTTTGGTGAAGAATCGGAAAAGTCCTGAAGCTATTTGTGGTAGCTTCTTGGAAATGGTTCGATCAATGCTCAAGCCCTCCTTAACGCATCTTAATTGAAAGTGAAGCACTCCCAAATGGGCTCTTAGCCTTTTGTGCTTTGGAGCTTAAAAGTGTTTTTGCTTCACATTCTTATGTTTTTAAAATCAAGCATTACCAATTGATCAAAAGCACTTTTTGACTAATTTTTGTTTCTAAAAATCTTAAGCTCAAAAGTCAAAAAAAAAGTGCCCAAGTTTTATTTTCTCAATTTATACATTTTTTAGACAAAGAAAGGTTATGGCAATCAGTTTCCAGTCCAGATCTCCTGCCCACGTTTATCACAGCCACACATGGAGAACATCTCATCCTCTGCATAGTATTATGCAGGGGGAGATGTTCCCAATTCACGGGGGTAGTGTATTGTGGGTAGACGTGGGTAGGGTTCTCATGGCCAGGAGATCCGGACTGATCAATTTCATTGGACGAATTGTTTGCCACACTTTTTCCGCGCACATGTGGGGAATAATGAGGAATTAGTGAAATGGTGATATTGGTGAACTCATCTCTCCTACCCACAAGACACAACAGGTGCACATTGGGAATATCTCCCTTGTCATTCTTGGGGAGATGTTCCCAATGGTGTCTTGTGGGTAGAGATGTAGGAAATATTTGTAGGACACAATTGCATTAGGAATATCTCCCTTGTCATTCATGGGGATATGTTTCCAATAGTGTCTTGTGGGTAGAGATGTAGGAAAAGTTTATAGGACACAACAACATTAGGGATATCTCCTCTCTCATTATAAGGAGATGTTCCCAATACGTGTGTAATCACTATGGAATCTTGGCGGTTGATCAATCCTCTTAAAGTCCGAAAAGATGATGAAAGAGAGAAAGAACATCGGAGAAGAGAGTACAAGAGGGGAGAGAAGGGAGAGTCTCCTTGTGAGAAAACCCTAGGTCAAAGTTATCTTGTCCCCCCTTGGGGAAGGGTTGTTCCCCCTTTTTATAGAGAGAAACCCAAGGCTATAAGGAAAAGGATATAAAAGAAACATTTCATGTTAGGAAATGAGATCTTTTCTTTATGTTGATTATTAAGAGAGCATTATTGGAGTTTCACCACGTGTCCAGCGAGATCCTTCGAAGACCGGGTTTATTTTCCCTTAAGAATTCTCTATATATGCTACTTCTTTTCATGACCCTTATATACTGACGTTGCACGGGTGACGTCGTTATTTGCATTGCTCATCTTTACTAGGTCCACGAGGCGTGCATAATTTAAAGATGCATGTGTATTTATTCCCGATTGTACAGTAATGGGCTTGCAATGGCTTCGAGCTCATCACAAGTTTGTGCGCATCCAAAACTCATCATGGGTCCACGCATGTCTGAGACTTATCGCAAGTTTGCACGTGTCTAAAACTCATCGCAAATTCACGCATGTTTAAGATTCATCGCAGATCCGCGTAGTCTAAAGCTCATTGCAACCTGTTTCGAGTATGAGTTTATCATAGATGTGCGATGGGTTATGAACTCATCGCAAGCATCCGTGTAGTGTTGGTTTGACACCCTATGTGCTCTGATGGTCTTAATGACCACTATGTACTTACGACCAACGTTCAAAGTTTCGACACGTATCGGTTCGTATCGGCCGATACGTATCATTCTGGGACCCCTCCGATATGCCCCTATAGTGGGTGTACCGGAGGTTTGACCGGTTTAGGGGGTAGAGGAGACCTAAACCGGCCCTTTGAACCGGTTGCAAAAAAATAAATAAAAAAAAAGGGGCTTGAAAAGGGCATATCGAGCATATTGATATTTTAAACCTTGCCTACAACATGACAACGGTAGTGTCTTGTGGGTAGGGATGTAGAAAAAGTTTGTGCGTAGGACCAAAATGTTTACAGCTTAATTGTTTCATACAAGTTCTAGAGACGTGATGATATACACAAGGATTCTATGGGAGTGCTCTCTTGAGCCTCTAAGGTGTTCCAATTTGAAAACGTTAGCCTTCTAACCTTGATCCTAAGGAAGCTATGATGTTTTATTAGTATTAGTATATATATTACAAGGGGATTAAGGGGTGAGAATAGAGAAGCTCGAATCCACTGATCGCAAAGTGTATGTACACATCGTCTCTTATACTATTTATTGTCATTCATGGAGAGATGTTCCTAATGTACTGCAATTACGTAGATTCAATTCCATGCTTGCATGGCTGCATTTCGATGATGAGATAGGCATTTTAAGCATGTTTATTAAGAAATTAAAACCATGGTTTTAAAAAATGACCTAGAAACAGATCTGTTCTAGCCACTGGTTTCCAAGTTAATGGTTCAACCACCTGGTTTGAATGGATGGCCTATTCTAACAAAAAATTATAAAAAATAAAAAGGCCAAAACTATTGAACGGGTCAACGGATTGACAGTTCGACCGCTTGAATCAATAGATCATTGATTGATTCAACGGTTTTTGGCCAGGAACCAGATTTAGGGTAAAATAGAATTGATTGCCTGGACAGTTCGCGGGCCAAACGGTCCGACCGTCCAGGAACTGGCCAGGAACCAGTTCGAAAACCATGATTAAAACAACTTTTGACAATTATCAAAATATTTATTAAATGCTCAATATTGAACGTACTTACTATATTGTGCTATATTCGATATTTGTGGCTTTTTCTCTCCTAAAACTTCTATATGAGCACGTTATCCCAGCATGACCCAACTCTAAATTAATTTATACACAAATGTGTTGGATATGGATGCCATGTTCTCACCCTTCACGTTTACAAAAACAGCAGTAGTGCTCATTTTGTATTAATATTATATTAGTGCATGCCAAAGATGTCAAAACAACTTAGAGCTTGGAGGCAAGGAGGGTTTTCTACTTTTCTCTGAAAATTTCACTGTGAAACTTGTAATACAAGAACTCAACGAGAGAGGAAGAAAAGTAGAAAACCATCAACCTCATCTCCCATATCCCATGAGACTATGAGAGCTAGCTGCATGTGAAATTAATAATTATGAATAATAATAATTACAGCTTTCCTTGTTCCTCGTCCTTGTACTCAGCAGTGGCTCCACCCCCGGTTGCCCAACCAAATTCAAAGGTGATATCGAGAAAGTAAAACATGAAAACCAGAACAAGGCAACATAAGAACATGGGTATGGGTCCAAAGATCCACATAAACAGAGGGAATGACAAGTAGAAAGCACGCAGGCCAAGAGACCAGAAATAGCTCCCCCTGTTCAGAGCCCTGCCCACGTATTCCGCCATTAAATGGGACGACGACATCTTTCTGACGGGCACATTGACGAGGATACTCGCGTGGCTATAGTATCGGATGGACTGCACGTTCAAGAGGAAAGCCAACAAGAAGCAGACCAAGATGGAGAAGAGCTTGATGGAGAATTCCAGCTCACTCTTGTCGCCGTACACCAGCTTAATGGATGGCTGGGCGTTGTTGCTGTTGCTCATCAGCACCGCGATGAATGAGCTAAGCATGATTGCCGTCGTTGCCAACAGAGTTGATGCCATTATGTTGTTTCTTAGTGTTTGCACCGCCAGAACACCGTTCTTGGGGCTATCCTAATATCATTTTCATTTCCATGCATGCAGATATCAGTACTGCGCAAGAATTACAAGTAGTTTTGATTTAATGAAAAAGTACTGAAAATTAAGAGAGAGTTGTGTCGTTGAACCTCCATCATGGTCTGAACCCAAATGCGCCTATTGATCGCATTGATGCCAATAACTGTCTTTGTGGGGTGTCTTATGATCCGATACAGGAGCCAGATGTGGTATGCCACCATTAGACAAAGCCCAGACGGGACCAGAAAATAATCTAGGATTTCTCTTCTCATTGCTCTAGCCTAGCTACTACGTATACTTACTTGGGTGATTCTGATGAATGAAAATAAAGAAAAAGAGTGGAGGCCTGGAGGGGAGGAGGGTAGTTGTTTTGAATTCTGAATTGGTATGATGTTCTCGTACTTGTCAACCATATAATGTATTTATAGAGAATTGCTGGATGGAATTCATACGTGGAATACACTTTTGCCCTACCCGGTATTGAGACTTGAGATGGCCGCCTGTGAGATCGATCCACTGACTAGAACTGTGGGTTCTTGGGTCTCACATGCACCTCGCTCTGTCCCTAGTCCCCACCACTACTGATTACCCGGAAAGAAGAAGAAACAGAGTTCAACAGGCACCAATACTCTTTCAGTTCATGAACTTTTCTTTATTCATGGAATGAATATTTATTGAAGGCAGCCTCCCGTTTTCAATTTTAGAAAACTCTAATCATAACTTAATAACTGGGAAAGTTGTGGGCCTTGTGGTTATGGTGTGCATGTGTCTTGGGCAGTCCAAATTACAAGCAATACCTTTAAGGCTCCGTTTGGTTTGCAGGGATAGGGGTCTGGAATTGAAATTGGAATGGGCTATTTCAATTCTAACTGTTTGATTGAACGGAATCAGAATCTCATTCCCATTCTTACTAAAATGGCATTCCCCCATTTGAGAGAATGACCATTCCTTGCCCCTCCCTCAGGAATAAAATCTCATTCCTACTGATTTCAATTTTCATTCTCATTCATGTCCAAACCAAACAGACTATAAGAATAAATCATTACAATTCTAATTTCAAAGAATTCTGATTTCGATTCCAGCTCCAAATCAAACTGACTCTAAATTCTAAAATTAGTTTTTGGTGGGTGGACCTCACCTGTTCTGTTAGCACCCCTTAATCCCCTGTAAAACCATAAAATTTGTCCATATCACAGATCCTTTACACTCTTCCTGCTTCTTTAAATATTGTGCCTTTTTTCTGAAATTTTGGATAAAATAAAGGGTACAAAACATTAAACATGAAATACCCACAATCGATTCAATTAGAAAACTGATCTAACTCTCTTACTGAATATGAGGCACGGCATGGGTCTCTTCTGCTTCATAACAAAAAGCAACTGAAATGATTCTAAGCATACAGAAAATGCCAACCACCAATAAGGCTAGAAAGTACCCTCGATTATCAACATCCACACTACTTGGTCAGTACTCAAAACCAGTCAATGGGGATTGGCTAGTGACAGTCATCTGCTCTGGGTCTATTTCTGAACCGACTATAGCCGACCAATTGAGCGGTGGCTCAGTTGGTATGTTAAACCATGGTTTTTAAAACCGACTCGGTGATCGAACCGGTCAGGTCTAGTTACTGGGTTGAACGGTCGGACCATTCAAACTGAATGCTCAGCCCATTCTAACAAAAAAATAAAAAAAGTCAAAACTGTTCGAATGATTCAAACAATTAACCACTCGGTTCAGCGGTTCATTGACCAAAATCAACAGTTTTGGAGAAAAATCCGGTTTTTGGAGAAAACAGAACTGGTCACCTGATTGGTTCCCGGTTTTTCCGGTCCGACCATCTGATCCGGTCCAGTTTTGAAAACCATGTGTTAAACTACGTTGAGAGTTATTAGTGTTTTGCATTAAAAAAAATGACTTGCCAAAATGTGAGCCACTATATTATTCTCCCATATAATTTCCATTTTTTCAAGAAATTGGATGGGTCCAAACTCCAAAGTAATCATCTTCCATCTTTGCATCTGCTATAATCATGTTGGAAGATTATAAAATGTGTGTTAGCATTGACTCAGTTAGTGAAAATAATATCACTAATACCCAACTTTCCGATGGTCCTTGGCGAGTCTCAAGACCTTTGTAAATACATGTGGTTCCCTATGTTTCTTATCATGATGAAGGCATCAAGCCAGAACGATAGAAACACCTATGGCGATACGAAAACCAATGGGGGTCTACGATGAGCTTATAACTCATCATAGATTTGCGATGAGCTTAAAGTCATCGCGGACCTGCAATGGACTTAAGAACCACCGCATGATCGCAACAAGCCAAAGCTATTCACAACAAGACATCCAACAAATTAAGCGAATACATCAGATTAGCTCTGACATCATCCATGCCACATCAATACAAAAGACCATAAGGGGAAGTAGCACATGTGTATCATGAAAATTCTCAATCGAAAGGAAACTTTGTTCTAAGGAGATCTCATGTGGCATGTGGCGAACCCCTAATAGTGTCTTTTTAACAACTGACACCGAATCAAAGATCTCCTTTCCAAATAGGAATCAAATCCCTTTTGGCTCTTTCCCTTCAGGGTCTCAGGGTCTCCTCTTATAAAAAGGGGAATAAACCATGATTGATAGATGATTCTATAAACTATGAGACCTCTATTTACCTTCATTACCCAATAACCTTCGGCCTTTCGTCATCCTTCGATGAGACTACCACACTTAGCCTTACCTCCCCACTTACACCCTTCTAACTAGCCTTAAGTTGTCTCAGTCTCTTAACTTCAGGAGAATTATATTAGAGGGAGATGCTTTGAAACTTATTTATTGCCTATTAGAGGATTCTTCCTCCCCTCGTTGATCTTCATATACCTATGAATCAGACTTCAAGCAGCTCTTCCCTTCTTTTGATTCAGTCTTGGTTCAGCATGTCAAGAGGTCCTTCAACAAAGTTGCTCATTGCCTGTCAAAACTTGGCCTTTCCGGCCATTTCTTTTGGATTAGAGATGTCGCCTCTTGTATTGCTCTGTTAGTCAATTCTGATTTATCTACATTCGAAACATTTGTACGCTAAGACATTGATGAATAGAATTTTACCCTTGGGCCTATTCTAAAAGAAGGTGATCCTTAACTATCAGACCTAAGCTCTGGTCCATTGACACCTATATTCTTACCTTCTACCAATGGAGCAGACATTGGCTCAATCCAACCAATCCAATGTAAATTCATTAAAGATGGACCAGGTCCAATCCAATCCAATTAATACTTTGGACCGTTAAGTTTGGATTGGTCCAATTCAATATGTCTTGTTGGTCCGTCCAAATTGCTTTTGATTTGAATGGAAACCAATCCAAAACCGGTCCATCGACACCCCTACCATCAAGTGCACCTCATCTGAACGGGTTAACTTTGGCTGTTGGGGCCCAACAGCATAGGCTGCAGTTTCTAGGCTGGGCACGTTCTGGGCAGTTCACCTATTCACACCCATACTTTGGTTTTTAGTAAAAATAAAATTCAGATGTAATTACTAATTTACCCATTCTCATGATAACGTGGCATTCTCAGAAATTCTCTCACAGCATAAACTGTTGACCCCCAACAGCTAAAGTTTTTCCCACCTGGACTCCCCTGGAAAGCTAGAGTTAACTTTGGCTGTTGGGCCTAACAGCCTGAGAAGTAGAGAACGTTCTTGCACTCGACATGTTATCCCATTCATGCCCATATTTAGCTTTTCGGTCAAAAGAAAATGGGGGCAATTACTCTTTGGACTCATCATGGTAATGTGTCATTTCCCAAGAACATTTCAAACAGCCTAGGCTGTTGGCCCACAACAGCCAAAGTTTTTCCCACAAATTTGGTGAAGTATCCATGCTGGCCAAAAATATCATCCCAGTGTCAATATGTCATTTCCCAAGAACATTTCAAACAGCCTAGGCTGTTGGCCCACAACAGCCAAAGTTTTTCCCACAAATTTGGTGAAGTATCCATGCTGGCCAAAAATATCAGCCCAGTGTCACCATGTTGTCATACTGCACTTAATCATAGCTTCTTTATACTGTCCAATAGCCGAAGCAGAACAAGAAAATGACAGAGATAAAGGATACTTTTGGGTAATCAAAGTATCTTTGACTATTCCTTAGAACAAGCATGTAATTTGGCAAAACTCAAACTATATACTATATAGATTAAATCTGTGGAATTAATTGGTATAGCGAGAACCCACAAAAATAAAATCATTCTCCATAAGGCGCATTGAATAGACAAATGCATCAAAAAGAATAACCAAGTCAAACTGTCAAAATTCGCTCAGATTTTCCAACTAAAAACAGAGGACAGCCAGACCTGACTGACGTGTTAAAGGCTGTGTGACCACCAAGGGATATAGAGCCGTGAGCACCACTAAGGGAATAGAGAAAGCCAAATTGAAACTAATGGAACCTCCATTAACAACAGCACATCAGAGTCTGGATCTCCCACATTTTTCTGCACATCCTATCACAGTGTGTGACATCAGCATCGCACAGTTGAGCCTCCTACATGTGCAGAGTCTGCATCTCTGAGAGCGTTTCCGTTTCCTTTTCCTTTTTCTTATTTTCAATATTAAAATATATTTAAACAGAAAAATGAGAAACAGCTTGGGCTCCACTCCTTTCACATTTTTTGGTGATGTGGCTAACACCATCAAGTGACTTGGTTCACAAGAGGATGGTCCTTAGAGATTGGCCCACTTTTGACTGAAACTAGAGATTTAGTAGCCTCTTTGCAACTTGCAAGCCACTCTTCGCTGGATTTCAGACTTTAATGCTGCAGCAGATATGTTGGCAAAATATGCTGAATTGTATAGCAATTGTTTTTGGTGGGTTTTTTTTGGGAAAATTCCCAATTAGTACCCTATGCTTTGGGCCTAGTGCCACTTTGGTCCCTCAACTTTAAAATGTGACAATTCAGTATCCGAACTTTCAAAACATGTCAATCTAATACCTGCTGTTAACCAGTCCGTTAACCAGCCGTTAAGTGACATTTGAAAAGACATAAATGCTCTTCGGGTATCATCTAATTCTCTTTATCAACCATCCAAACATTGATAAAACATGAACAGTCCCAAATACTTGCCTCTTATTGAATACCGACTAAGACATGATCCCAACTTTCTTGAATAGAAGAGGCAAGAATTTGGGACTGTTCATTTTTTTTAACAATGTCTGGATGGTTGATAAAGAGAATTAGATGACACTTGAAGGGCATTTTTGTCTTTTCAATTGTCACTTAATGGCTGGTTAAGGGACCAACAGGTACTGGATTGGCACTTTTGAAAGTTTGGGTACTGAATTGTGACATTTTAAAGTTTGGGGGGCCAAAGTGGCAC